AGAAGGACTATATCGTCCGCATATTCTAAGTCAACGAGATTCTTCCCTGGTAGCAAGTCAATCCCTGAGTCACTGAAGTGAGTTAGGGTTAAGTCCATTAGTACATCTATGATGAAATTGAATAGGAATGGGGATAATGGGCATCCTTGACGGACGCCACTAGTCGTCACCACTTCAGATGACAACTCGCCATAAGCCATCACCTGGCTGCATGAGTACGGGTAGAGTGCCTTAATCAGTGCAGTGTATTTTCTTGGCATTCCCTTTACAGTCAAGCATCACCAGAGAACCTCCCGGTCGACAGAATCAAATGCCGCCTTTAGGTCAAGAAATATAATGATTGTCGGACGCCGGTAGGAAAGCCTATGTTCTAGAATCCGTCGAAGGGTGAAGATGTGATCAATACACCCTCTACCTGGCCTAAAACCTGCCTGGTTTTCTCGTGTTTGTGTCTCCCGAGCACCACTTAATCTACGCAGTATTATTGAGCCTAGGATTTTAGATACTATATTAGTCAAGCTAATCCCTCTGTGATTATCACAAGACGACTTGTCCCCCTTCTTGTATATCGGGATGATCAGTGACTTACACCAACCCGATGGGACTTCCTCTGATTCCCAGACGCTGCCTAGAACCTCCGTTAACGCTGATTTATAACCATGAATTACTCAGTCAGCTTTGCAGTAAAATCTCAAAGTTTGATAATAGCATTAGAAACAGTTTTACTCATGAAAAAGATAAACGTGAGGAATCCGCCCTCCAAAGCACTTAGCAATTAATTAGATGAGAACTATGTCATGACGCTTTATATACCTTCAAATTTAGTGTACACTTGTTCACGTGCGGAAGCAGTACTAATAATAAGCCTTGATGCTAGTCAGAGTATGAAATGGCATTTTATACTGCTTTCAGTGTTATGCACGATTTTTCACCAGTGAAACAGGCAACTTAAATGTAGATCTACGGTGCACAATTTGAATTTGTGACTGCGAATAAGTCTAACTTAGTGGCTCATTTTTGAGTTAGAATCCCAGTTACCATTCCTAGCTTTCACTCACAGGGGATAAATTAAATTAATTAATTAAATTAATTAAAGCGAAACAGTTTTAATACGATGTATCTTTGTTTGAATGAAATTATCATCTTACTTTGATCAATCTAGCAGCACTCAGTATTTATCATTTGGACCAGTTCACCTTCAGGAAGATTCAGAAAAAAATGTTTAACATTTTCCACCTCTCTGCAAAGTAATCCTGAAAGTCAACCAATTAGAAGACTGTCATGTTAGTAGAGAAGGATTCTCCCAATATCGCACTGCATGCGTCAATCTTTATCTAACAGTTGAGGTTGGGATACGTATTGTGTATGAATAGCCTGCGCATATTATGTTGACATCAGGCAATAAGTGATATGGGTTTCTACTATCTTTATCCACTTTAGGCCTGAAGTCATTTTTTTAGTATCGTCTAGGTTTCATTGATATAAGAATAAAACTTGGGCACTGTGGTAGAGTGTAATTCCATTATGGGTAAATTTTGTTTTGATAAAGTCTCACAGTGTTATCCAGTAATGTTTACTGATGACGTTTCGAGCACAATTTATTGCTCATAACCTTGATATGATTATGAGCAATAAATTGTGCTCGAAACGTCATCAGTAAACATTACTGGATAACACTGTGAGACTTTATCAAAACAAAATTTACCCATAAAGGAATCGTCTAGGTTTATCAAAGTTTGATACCCAGGGGAAATAAGTGGTAATTTTCAACGGTTTAGTTAACCTAACGAAGGTGTGACTGTAATCACAAGGGAGGCATGCCACTACTATCATCATAAGCCCAAACCTAAGGTACATTCTGAGTGAAAATCATACTACTTCTAGAAAGGGAGGAAACGGTTAATATTTATCCAATGTAAAAAAATTTGTTTTTTAGTGGCCAACATATTCCTGATGTCAACACTTCTAAGTTTTATGGAAAATGATTTATTTGTAATTAGATGTACTGTGAGATAAACAGCTGTCCCTTGAATTTTGACTCAATAAAAATTTCCCAGTCACCTTTAGATCTCTTTAATTAAACAAATATCTAAAAAGAAAGACAGGAAAAGCTGACTACACCCAGGTGAAAGGGACTGGGGATCACTGGTAAACTTTAGGCGAATCACTAATATAACTGAATATCGACGGAATAACAGCATATAATCAAATTGTACTGGGTCGTTGTCTTCCACCTTTTTTAATCTTCAGGAACGAACATCCATCACTGATAATGCAGTAATGCGAAAAATGACAGTATTTATCATATAAATTTAACTTATTAGGATCAAATGGAGAATGAGTTCATTTTAAGAAACATAAATTGAGTGATTTCCCTTAGGGGTCATTTAAAGCTGAGAGAACAGTCATTTCTCAGTGTCCACAGAAAGACTGGAGTAAAACTATTTGATGCATTGTTAGAAGGCCACCGCTTCGATTCTTGATACAACTTAGGTTTCCAATTCACCTGTAATCCCCATTCATTGCATCACAACCAGTTTTCCAATCCAAGGCAACCTTACACTGTTTCATCCAAAAGTCATCTGATAATGAATAATTCTGAGTGACGGTTCTGTAAAACCCAATTCACAAGTTTATCATACAATAAAAGTAAGAATTAATAGGGTGTATTATTAAATTCTTCCCTCCTTATTTTCAGGATCCAGTAGGTTAAATCATTCCTTGCATTGCAACTGCTTGTTTGGATGCCTCAATAACAGCTAGCAGTAAATCACTAGACTCATATGACCGGATTTAAGAAGTTTTGAGAAAGGATATTTGCATCCATATAAATTGATGTTTTTTGTGCCTCAGTAATATGGATAAAGCTACGAAGTTACAACTGTCACTTACAGCTAACATATTGTTAATAGATTTTGTAGTGGAGTTCAGAAGTGGGGAATTGTGAGACCAGCTAATGGAGATTTCAGATTTCCCTATTAGCTACAGTTGATTAGAGAAGTTAACCCAATTTTTAAGTGGTTGATTCATTTTCAAGGTAGATTTAATCACTGATTGTCATCACTTAGACAAGCTTTGAAAATCAAACAGTACTCAGCAGCTTTTCCATTCTAGTGCGGGACCCTGTAGTAGTACACATTCTTGACTTCACTAGGGATCAGACCCACGACATTCGGGTTACCAGATGAACACGTTACAATTCACTTATTGAAACAGACTTCAATGTTCATGAATTTGAACCTCTGTGAATTCACGACATATAACACTACCGTCAGTCATTGTCATCTGCGAGTATCCCGTCTCACACTCGAATTATTGAACCTCGCAAGTCACAAATTGCCATTAGAACACCAGGAAAATCATCCCGTAGCTGACCACCAATAGAAATTGGATTAATTTTCAAGCATTGGTCTGTAGAGAATCGTTAGAAGTTAAAATTTACAAGCTAATGGTTTTCACCCCAGTGGTTGTATCTCAAGGTGCACGTCCAGTAACCTGAAGGTGATGAGGTCGATTGCGGGTCCGGTCATAGATGCCTACCAATGAAGAGAACCAGAATAGAATGAGACAGCTGTCCAGTACATATTATCTTTGAGCGGTTCTCTAGCTGATGTTGCTTAGTGATAAAATCTACCTTGAATTAACTAAATTCCTACAAATCCCTGGGAAGCATTTATTTCCATTTTATATCTGTTTTGATACACAGTTAACCTCAGTTGTTAGTCTTATTGAGTATATTATGTACTTTTTCGTCAAAATTTCTTGTTTGCCTTTTATCTATTATTATTTTCTTATTTTTGTTAGCTTATGGTGACTAATGCATCATGTGTCATAATTTAAAATGTCCCTACTTGTGCTATTCAATTCAGTTTGCGATCCTGCAAATTTTGTACACAAAGATCTTGGTATACTGGATCTACCTTAGAAAGATGGTTGGTTTTTCGTGACATAATGACACAGGACTTAACCAGGAAGCCAAATATGTGTATTGGAATATATCAGGATTATCGTATTTCCCAAAAATATAAATACACTTCCCACTAACGTTACATCTTCTTTGTGTGGGAAGAAATAATAAGTAAGGCGAGTCATAAAAATAGTTTACTCTCTCACCTGACAGACTTTCAGTATAATGCAAACACATTTAAACCTTGATGCGTAACCAACATCGAAAATCTGTACATAAGACCCACTTCTGCGTGCATAAATTCATCATCAAAACTATTTCCCGTTGATTTCGGTATCGATTAATCTTTGTACAGGCGACCATGAGGTTTTAGCCACTCACATAATTACAACCAGCATTTTCAGAGGCTGTATCTGGAACTCTAATCTGATCATATCTGAATCTGGCGTAATCTACAATCAATGGTTTCTATTATTCCAGAGACGTGAATAAAGAAGCTCACACTACCAGACAATCTGGTCGTCTGAAATTATTATCCATTCTGAACAAGTCACTCATTTAATACCTGCTTGTAAAATTAAAGTGATTAATTTAAAGGATGAAGACAAACTCACTCAGACAATTTTCGAAGTCGAACAAAATTGCACAGTCAGTCAGAATTTGGCAAAATGAACGCTGGACACTAACAAAAGGTAGCTGAAAGCTGAAACAAATAAAAATAAGCACCTACAGTAGAATGAAAATTTCAGTCGTAACTGGAATCCAGGAACCTTGTAGCTGATGTGAATAGTGATGACAAGTGTGCTACTAAATCAAAAATGACTGGTGTTGTTATTTCCTTCTTAACACCTATTCTGTGAGTTACAAAAATGCATATCACTTTTAACGAATCATGGCAATTTCAAAAGTCAAAATGATTGGTGTGATTTATGTATTAGTTGAGTCAGCAATCAAGAAATTAACTACAATAAAACAGATGAGAAGAAGTGGAAACAGAAAATTTTCAAATCATATCACATTATTTATAGTAGAAATCGAAAAATAATCTATCATTTAGGTGTCAGTTAAACTGCCATTTTTCTATACAGTTTATTCAACCAGTCTTTTGTTGGTCATTTGATGAATCTGACATGCTTGGAACATCCTTGAGGCTGTGCTGTTCAACTTGATGATGAAGCACTGTCATTTCATCTGTGAATTCCTGAAGTAAGCAAGAAAGTACGGTGTTATTAAGCAAAATAACTACCCTTGAATGAAAACAGCATAAATAAAAGATGCGAACGTCATTCAGCTTTTTTCACTTGGTTTTTTACCTATGTAAAATGCACAATAGTGTCAAACGATATAGTAGTTGTTGATGAGACTTCATGAGATAGTCTTTGTCTGTCTAACTGATCTTAACACTCTGGAGATGAAAAAGGTACTTAAAAAAGAGACCACCATGTGGCTGGCCAAACGTTCTACTACGTTAAGTCAATATGGTTAATGAAAGATAATGCGATATCATATTAATGCAAGAAGACTACAACTAACACCTTAAACGTACTTCACAATGATAGATAAGTTACACCGATAACATTTCATGAAATTTTCAAACTTAGTTGTACTTTTCAAGTCATTTCCTTTAGTTAGCCTTCTACCTGTGTTTAGAAATGCTCTAGAGCATGGCTAAATAGTAGGCTAACACAAGTTTTGTCAACTAATCTTGATCATCTTCGCATTACCGAAGTATTCGAGTATCCCTATTAACGTTTAGAGTTTTTACGCACGTTACCAAGTGATATTAACAACTGACGTTTGTTGGCTCTCCCATGACCTTTTGGAAGGCTATTTAACTGTACAGTCTTATAGAGAAATTACGGAGAGAATACTCTTTGTCGACCTATGTCTTTTTAAGACATGCAATCAATAAAACAAATTGTGTAAACAATCAAGTCCTGCAAATCGATTTGTTAACCTACCTTAAGGCATATGTGACAAATTTTGGAGGCTTTATAGCTGTCCACTTTAGAGGCGATTTCATGTGGCAGAAGACCAAGAACAGGATGCGAACGTAATAAAAAAATACAACTAGGTACAGTATGCTCCAGATCTAGATTTTCCGCGGGTTCATTAAGTTCACTTGATGATTTACACTCTGTATCGTTTTTCTTGCTTTTATATTCACCCGGTGGAGTCGTTCTACCTTTAATACTTTGCGATTCCTCGGTTTCAGCTTTCCTTTGTAACTAAGATCCAAAAAAGAAAATATTCACCAATGTACAAAATGAATCTATTTTAGCTCAGTTATCGGAATTATTTCTTTAAATCTCCACATATTTTGCAGTAGTTTGCCTCAGTGTACTGTTATTTTCACATAATTTATTAGTTACAGATCTACTTTCTAGTCAGTTATTGCCATTTCCCAACACTTTACATGGTCACTATTTAAATTCTAGTGAATCTATAACACCTCACTAGGTAAGCGGTAACAGGATCACCAAAATGGGTTCTGGCCATATATTTCTAGCTTTTTAGGCCCCTTCTAAAGGGTTTGGGGACAGTGTTGAAGAAAGTTAATTTTTTCAGACTGATAATACCTGCTATCTATTTATCTAAGTTTACCACACTGAACTTGGTATGACATTTGTAATTCTTGCAAAACGAAATATGAAAACCTCCTTCTTCTTATTGCTTAATGGTATTGGCTAACACCAATGGACATTTTTGGAATTCATATGATTTCACCTGTGCATCTGAACTTCCGGTTATTAGCCTAAGAAATGTCATTTGTCCAACCGGAATCATCTCTACGCCAAGGTTTAATGTTAACTGTCTCTTGGTTTATGGCGACTGGTCAGAAAACCGTACATGGACTCGTCTATTATCACTTTTGAAGACTGAAACTGATCTTCAACTAATTATCCTATATTCTCGTGCTGCTTTCCTTCATGAGGTGTATGTGTCGAATAGAATGTGGTCATCTGTCCATACGAACACGTATTAAATTGCTTGTCTATCTACAAATTGACCAGAATTTCATGGATTGTTTCATTTGATTTATACTGGAAGTATTTCCCTACATATACCTAGTTGCTCAGTAGTGTTCTTAGTCTAAAGCTAGCGGAACCAACATACGAAATTACTTTTATTACTAAAGAAATATATTACAAAACGTGTCATACAAGCCAATTACTAAAGTTATTTGCATTCCTACTAGACTATCAAAATCGTGTGAGTTATTTCTTACTTTGGGCAGCAGAATGAATAAATCTGGTCTGTAAAACAATACTGATCCTTAAAAGTTTAACATTAACGTTCCACAGTGTTCTTTTTTGGTGATGTTTCTTGTTCTTAACTGTTAGTGAGAAATTCTTTCCAAAGTCTGACTAGCTTTATTATTCGTACACTTTTGATGATTAATCAAAATCATATAAGCCTTCAGTTACTGGATAAAACTGAGACCAAGGACAATTGGGATGACAATATCCCCATAATAAAGCCTGCTTTGTCTAGTAAGGTAAGAAATGTCGGTAGTTATTATAGTGTTACAATACTTTTTGGTGAATTAACAGATTGAAAAATTTTAAAGCATTTATGAAATTAACTTAGTCTATAATGCACAAACAACCACAGGTGGCACATATAAGGGTGTTAGGAGCATGATCATAAAAGCAAGACACATTACTCTGAAATCACTATGGAAATACACTGTACTCAGAATAAGGAACAACATCCAGATTTTCAACAGTAATATCAAGTCAATCAGTGCTATTTACTGTATGGTTCAGAGACGGCGTGTCACCAAAATCATTTCCAATGGGCCACCGAAGACTTTGATCGGCGACTGCCTGCTTTCGATACGGAATATCGGGTAGCCAATCGGGAAGAATAACCAACAAGAAAGTCTGGCTGTACAACGAAACAACCAAGAACCTACTGCCCAACAGATATGCCGAAGGAAATAGAGTTGGACTAGATATTCTCTGGGAGGACCGTTGAGTGAAATCATGCCCTTGAACCTCGAGTGGAATCCGGACGAGACATGACAAGTTGGCCATCCGATAGTGACATGGAAGAAATTGTATGAGGAGGAAATTTTAGTGCCGGCTGGAAGAGACTGCAGATAACAGGGTGAAATGGTGGTGTGCTATTGAGACCTTGGGTTTCACTAGGAGCCGAAGGGAATAATAATAGTTATATTGTACAAGAACAAACTAAAGGTTTCGCGCTGCAAAGTAAGTCTGCAAACATTAGTCATTAGATAAAAGACAGCAGAAATAGTTATTTTAAGGAGCATTCTCAGACGAAGTAATGCTGTGCAAACTACCTTTGCAAATCACCATCTCACATAGGAATCGGCTGGAAAGTAAGCTGTAGCATCAGACTAAAGAAATATCCCACCAGTGTGAAAATATTCAGTTGTTTATTAGTAGTGAACCAGCTGTCAGATCCTAATCATCCCTCATTATCTTCTGAAGTCAGCAAGCTAATAGAAGTTTCTCTGTAAATGTGTCTTGTGTATTAGTACTTACAGACCAAAATGGCAAGTATATTGCAAAAGGAGTATTGAATAATTAGCTACATTTTTAAGCTGTAACTTACACATGATAATGATGACGACGGCAGTGATCGTGTTGGTGGTGGTACTGGTGCAGATGGAAATGACAATACACAGTCCTCACTTTTTGAAATATGTTCCATATTTCGACTGGTAGTTGCATTAAGAGTTTTCAGTTGACCACCTAGTTGTTCTTCAGTGTCCGTCCTCATCAAATCAAAAGACCATAAACTCGGCCAAAATAACATACTGAGAAAATGAATCAAAGACTGTGCCCGACACATACAGTTTGTGTTAGATGTATTCAATTTACTTTCACTACCGTCGTGATGATCGCAACTTTCTTTATTTGATTCGACAACCACTTGAGAGCTCAAGTTAGATGACTTAGAGTGATCATCAGTTACTAATTGACATTTAGATGAATATGGATTATTTTTGAGACAGATACCGGCGTTATGGTCCTGCAAAGGACCTTTTTCTTTCATGGTTGTATTATCTGGATCCATTTTACTCAGTCTTCTTTTAGTATCCCACTCACCATCTAGACTGTAATGTTTACAGGATTCATTTTCATTATGAGAAATTAATTTCCCTTGGTCAGTATCTTCAACACTCTTAGTGGTAATATTAAAGCTGCTGGCATCACGACGAACATCCGACTCAGTATTCTCAATAGGGTTTTTTAAATCAGCGTGATAACTTAGAATGTGTACAAGACATCGATTGCGATCTGTAAATTTTTCTTCACATCCACCACAGTGATAATATGTCAGCAGATGTTTGGTTTGTAAGTGATTCTGAAAAAAAGTTTTGAAAAGGAACGAAAATGAAATAGATCTTTTTGAGACTGTGTTAAGACAGTTAGTTACCTTTAAAAGTGATAATTAACATAATAGTAGATGATTAGCATATCTGTTATCAGTGCCAGCTTTACAGTGCGACGGCGATAATTTTTGTGATGATGGAAAGTAAGTAAGCTGCAAAGAGCAGCTAATCTCTGTCTAACTGGAATGAATACAATCTCTACTGCGTAAATTTCCAGGGCAGGAAACTACTGAATAAAAGGTGTTATTTTTTAAATTCCTTTAATTGGATATTTCTAGAGTGATGAGATAATATTGTCGGGATTCTTATGAGCCTCAACGTTTAGAAATATCAACTAAGAAGTAATGAAATATGATCCTTTTCAGTGGATCCTTAAGTGCGGATATTTATAGTCGTGACCTATGTGGTGGACTAAAAACTGCTTCTGCACCCCTACGTTAACATTCATCGCTTTTCTTATTTCTATACAAGTCTTCAAAATGACAAGAGCAACTGGAAGGAGTCAGAAAGCAAAAATTACCGCATTTTAGCTGAAAGAAATGAGCGGTAAAGTACTGACCGTGACACTTGACTTTATCGAGCTACGTCCGAATTCCAGTGGGTGAGCACTTTTGATAAGTCATGTACCCTTTTAATATGATCTAGGGATATGATTGGTGAAAACAGCAGGGAATGGAAGTTAGATATGTTGTATTTTCGACAAAGATGTAAAGTTGATTATAACTTGGCGATACTTTCCAAGCACAAACAAGGTTAAATCAGCTGCCATTCGATGGTTTTCAATGTATTTAATCTTTGGTCTGAATTCATTATGTGAAAAATTTTCTAGCAAATATCAGGTAAAAAACATCAAATATGCAGGATTACACGACTTTATATGAGAGGGGTGAAAATCTCCTGCTTAAATGTTCATTCTAAATAGTACTGACCTAGTTTCAATATCCATTCACTGAAATGTCATTATGTAACTTAGTGATTGCTTCAGCGTTAACTTCCCCAAAAAAACTTCCCAATCAAATTAGAAAGCAACTGCATCTTTCTGTTTGTCAACTAATGTTAAAAATAAACATGATAGTTTCCATAAAAACGAATTTCCTAGAGTTTGTCGTTACAGACCACTTTGTATGGAAATAAATAACTTCCAGATACAAAAATAAAATTTAGGAAACCACTTGTTTTCGAATACCAGTCAGAACATCTGCCCTTATTTGATAGATATAGTGATAACTCAAAAGTTTTATTTGGCCGACAAACCACCATGAAGCCAGCAATAACGCAACTTTGTAGCATATTCTGCCACTTTCAAGAAATCAGAGGCTCTATCACGCTGCATGCTTTTACTCTGTTGACTTCATACTAGAATGTTTACTTGACAAGAATAGAAAGCAAAAATGTTCAAAAAAGCAACTGACTCATAGTTTCATTTAGATGCGAAGATGACTTGTGACACACTTAAGACTTCAAAAATTATTAAAAGCTGACCAATTTGTTTTATTTTCATGCCTCGGCACTTGTAAGGAGTAGTAAACTGATTCCCTAGCAAACTGCTTCATACTGTTCAGTATAAGTAAATATAGAGGAAATGATTTAAATTGAAGATTTCAAAGCAGTCTCAAATATCAGGCAACCAAACACTTGATCCTATAAACGGGTAAACTGCTAATATAGCCAGTTCTTTAAAAACCGAGTGTCAACCTTAGGTATTCCCCTGTTTCAACACTACACTGATGACCAGTCCGTTACACATTTATAGGAGCTATCATGAGGGAAAAGTCTCTAAGCAATTTAATGGGGATCTTTTTGTATTTTCGTTGTGGCTATGACTACTTAACCCGAGTTTTCTAATTTTGGATAATTATCTGCCAGTTATTTGTCGCACAGACAATACCAACATGATCTTTATAACATTAGAAGTTAAAACTCTCTCAGAAACATAAGTAGTGGAGGCCAGCACTCGATTGCCAGCCATACTACTTAAACCACTGACATAACTCTTTTAATATATTTTGAAGAAGACGAACTCATCCGGCATTTACCAGGGAAATTTAACATTTGTTCACCTAGTATCAGCTGGAGTGAAAATGATAAAAATAAGGTAAAAAACAACTGTTGCTTACCAACAAATCTGCAAACTGATCAAAAGTTGTGGGGTGACTGCATATACTGCAAGATAATACATTCGTATTAGAAAAGATTATCTTTTTATCAGAATTTCCAATAGTTTCCTTTCCGAATGAGTTTTTGTTAGGAATGTACTCCTTGATTAATTCTAAAAGTTCTGTTTTGTCCCGATTAACAACTTCACTGCCCACACTAGTATTGTTCATTGTCTCAGTATCTATCGAACATCTACCTCCCATAATCCCCTGTAAGTGTCCAGGTAAATCAAAGCCATACGTGTTTACGGAATCGTTTGGTGAAGTTTCTGGTAACTGATTAAAATGCACTGCCATGTGTTGAGCAAAAATATTAAAACTTGTCGCTTCCATATGACACATTGGACAAATAAATATTTCCGACTTAATCGATGAACATGGTAATCGATCCGAGTTTTGTTGATTACTTTTCAGTAGTCCACTGAATTTTTGAGAATAAATATATGGCTTTGATTTGTGAATTCTTCGTAATCTCCCACGTTTAAGTTTTATTCTGGCCTTATTTAGTTTATCGTATACACTTAAATCCAGTGGTTGTCCGTTTACCCCTGAGACTGGTGTGACTTCTTCAAACATGTGAAGTTGATACATTAGCTGTTAAAAACACATAGAACACAGAGAAATTGGTTTCAGAAACAGTTCAAGTTTTTCTTAAAGTGAAAAACCCCCTAAATCGAAAAGCTTTTTGGAGTTTGTCTGGTTGTACTAATTTCATGGAATTTTACCTCGAAATCAATGCATACCGCATTTGAATCTCTGTGAAATGGTCAGCGTTCATTGGGATGCATGTGATGTTGGCTAGTGAGTTTTGAATTGAAGTGTTAGCTAATCCCGATAAAATACCAAGACGGAATTAAGTATATTATCCAGGTATACATCTAAAGCTGATATCACATAAACTCTCTAAATGATATTGGTTTGTGATGCAGTCGAAATTGAAGGAGAATGTCTAGTTGGATCTTGAGGAACAATCAGAAATAACGTCAAACTGTAATTATTCAAGAAGTGTATTTATCATATTTAACCTAATAGCTCAGCTTCCGAGTGATATCCAGAGAAGATTTGTTGTGGTAACAAATTTAATAGACTTAAATGTATGCATGTAATTGGGTAGTGCGTCGGTGGCATAGCGGTTGGGACGCTCGCCGACCATGAACATGGTCCTGGGTTCGACCCCCTGCCGACGCACTCCTTTACCTCGCTAAGCTAGAAATAATGCTGGTGAAGAGGAAAGGTTGGGCATGAGGCTAGCAACGCCATCCTGTAAAATAAACACTGCTACATAAACTTCAAGCCACTAGCTTGAAGCCCTATCTTCCACTAGGGAACGTGAAGGAAAAAAAATGTGATTTGGTAGGTTATGGTTTTCGAATTCACTTACTCTAACCTAAATAACTGCATAATCTTTTTAACTTTTTTGTAAAAGCTGCACTCATAACAGATGCTAATAGTTAATCTGATGAGGATATTTTTAAAGGAATGAGTCGACGATAAATATCCAGACCATATATATATGCAACGAATTTCCTGGGATATTTTAACTAATTTTATAGTGGGTTGATTATTAGTTGCATTTTTTGTTGCTGCAACAAGTTTGCTACTCACAGTTTTATTTCCTATTAGGATAAAATAAACTCTTATCTTTGGGATGAATATTATCGTAACTAAGTGAAATAATCAATACGAATAGCAATTACTGTTGTGATGGTCAGTCTGTTCAACTTGATCAGTGTTACTTTGAAGCAATAAAGAAAACCCTGCATTGCTTTTGACATTACTCTGTGTAGTTCTTAAGTGAGATATGACACCGTTTTCTAACAAAGAACGACATCATTCTCAAGTTTTGCACTATTAATTTCTATCTGCCGATTAAGAGAAGAATATATTATGGTCAGGGGACTGTCTTCTAGTCAATGAAATCTGTGATGTAATTCAATCGTTACTCAACTGCATTAGAAGCGTTAAAGGCTTTGCAATTAATAGTGTTCTCTGAGCTGGTTGGTTTAGTTGCGAAGCTTTCGTCGTCCTTCTGGACAAAATCTTCAGCGCCATATTTAGCACAAAGTGAAATGATTTAAATTTCTTCATGAGTAATATAGATATAGCATACAAGCCAGTAAAATCGCTTAATTCGATATTATGCAAACCAAAAGATCCAACAGAAAAAGGGGATAAAATTAATACCATTTACAAAATAAATCGTATGAACTGCAACAAGCATTACATCGGCCAAAGTGGGCGTCCCCTTCGAATCAGAATCCAAGAACATAAATCAGCTGCGAAAAGACACGATATGTATTCTTTAGTATCAATGCGTATAGACAATTATGGTCATCAATTTGATTGGGATAATGTCAAAATCTTAGACAGAGAAAACACTAAAAGTGCCAGGGAATTTCTAGAAGACTGGTACTCATACGAAAATGCAGTTAACAAGCACGTTAATATAGACGAAATATACCAACTAATAAAAAGTAAATCAGGTGACCAGAAAGTTTAAAATCCAAGTCAATAGGAAATGGTCAGTACATATGTAAAGATAGTTACCAGGAGACGCAATTGTATCACTCATGAAGAAATTTAAATCATTTCACTTTGTGCTAAATATGGCGCTGAAGATGTTGTCCAGAAGGACGACGAAAGCTGTGCAACTAAACCAACCAGCTCAGAGAACACTATTAATTGCAAATCATCCACCTGAGCTACAAATCTTCTCAATTATTTCGTTAAAGGCTTTATTTACTATTGAAAAGTACTTGTGCACATGCCTTTTGTTAATGATTTGTAAACACTAATTAATGCATCTGAAAAAGAATTTTCATCATCTTCATCAAACTTTAGCGGTAAAGTTTACGTTCATTTTCATTATGATGCCATCCACTTACAAGTCTACTTATCATAATGCTCAAATTTATTCTGGTTCACAATATTTTGATAATATTATTCCACCTTTATACTGTAATATGTAAGTGTACAAGTTTTCGATAGTTTTATCAATTAGTGATGCTAATCAAATTTTACTTGATCTACATAGAAAAATGCAGGAATCTCAATGTGTATACTTCTGAGGTATCTGAGACAAAAAAATAGTTCGTAAAAATCAGCACTTCCCGCTAAGCATTTTAGAATAATTCCAACACCTAGGCAGGGAAGATTGAGGAAATATTTCCTAGAAGGTCATGTGTAATGAATACCAACATGTATACAGCTTATATTCAACAGCTTTTACAGATTGCTTACAGCGGTTCGGTAGTTTGCAGCCCTAATCTATCGCATAATCTAATAGACTCAGTAGTGAGGTTTCTGTATGAACTTTAGTTGCCATCAAAGCCGAGAGAATATAGTATCTACTACTATGACTTTGTAGTGGTGTGATACAGACAATGTGTTCCAACGGAATATTATTCTCATAAATTCCCACAGTTCACTACTGTATTAGCGACAGAATACTATGTATATTTGAACCTTTGAACACGCTCAGTGATATATATATAGCGGTTTGATCGGTTGAGAACACACCTTGGCTTCCCTGGCTTGCCTTCTGCTGTTACAACTTTAGAGACTAGGTACTAACATCTCTGAATGAATTACCACACTTTTTAAGTAAATACGTTCGCCTTCATACAGTCATTCACATTTCTAACTAAAATACAAGTGATTATTTCTTTGAAATTCATGCTTCATTATAAATTTTAAAAATGAATTTACGACAGGTAATTCAATGTATAAGTATGCATTAATCCGTCATTATTCGGCTAAGAAGTGTTCCGTACATAAGACATCTTAAGACGAGAAAAGACTCCAAATCCTGGGAACACTTCGAGGTGTTCTCTGAATATCTTGTACAAATTACAATACTCTGATTAATTTTCCCACTTAAGTATTCGGAAAACTAGAGAATTTCCCAACAAACATATCACTTCAAGGTGGAAATATGAGGAAAGAACATGATTTAGAGAACAAGAACAAAGCAGTGCACATACGTTTCTTTGTTGCTTAGTGCTGTTAATCAGTGTACATTCATAACCTAAGAGGAACCCGGTCATAAACAATGAAGTTAAAATGCATAAAATTTCAAAATACACTTGTAATCTTAACACAAGACTGGTACTGTTTTGACAATCTTGACAGTTTATATCAATCAGTGATTTAAAAATGACTCCTGGTGACTATAACCTTAAATTACATTTTTGGTAAGGCATAGTTAACATTTTAAAGATGTACATAATAATTATTATTATAATCACTTTGAAAATTGTTTGAATGCACTTACCTAGATGAATTTAGAGGTGTTCTATGATTACAACTTGCTTTTGATTTTAGAATGTTGGATGAAAATGATTTGAGTATTCTCATGTTAATGATTGGTTGTTCTCACATAACCAGTTAAAACTGCATTGTTTTTGCGTGGGTGTGGAAAACAAGCATATACATACACACACACACACATAAAACGCAAGCAGGATAACATATCACTTTATGCACAAATTAACTGTTTCTACAGTTTTACATACACACAGCCAGACAGACACACAAATACTTTTATTCATATGTATGCATAAATTCTTAGGCATTCTAGGAAACACTTCAAAATTGTCTGTAAATACCCTTGGCACGTAAACATTCATCTATTCTTTATAACTCCCTTGGTGCGATTGAATATCTGAATGCTTATCCATATTCCCAGAACAAAATAGTCTCTTAGATTATATATATATATATATGTATATATTCAATTTCTGTGCTAATACTCCTTAGGGAATTCAAAGGTTCTGCGGGTTACCCTTCTGTTCAAATAAGTCTCTTTAGGGAATTATTATGCACACAGTGAATACACAAGTGGAATAAATTTTAAAGTTTGAAAATCTAGATACTTGCTGTTTTTCCCCTCATTTCCTCTACTTACCTTCACTCCAACTATAATCCTCTCTCTCGCTCTTTCTTTCTCTTCACCTCACTTTTCACATCAAGTAAGGCAGAGTCAGCTATTTTTTATTTTATTTTTTTTTAAAGAATTATTTTATCTGAAAACAAAAAGTTAATTGAATCAATGAAAATTTTCAGGTCAATCATTTTTAAATTGACATTTACCAGTGCATATTAAACCATTGACTTAACGACTCAAAAATTATCATTATCATAATACATATTACTGATACTGTTACAAATATTTTTATAATCGGTTTACATATTCACTGAGAAGTGACTTCAGTACAGACGTTTAACAGTGAATAACTAGTTTAAATGTAGCTGTCACCATGAGTGTAACCATGTTTTATGAATATATAGTGTTCTTCAGTGTTTCTAAACCATAAAATGAAAAAAATGTATCTCTTTGTGATTTCTGCTCAGTAACTTCCTGAACGAACAGATTTTGAAGACTGAAAGAGGAATGTAGTGGGTTCCTCATGTATTTCCTTTCTTTTCATCCAACTGCACACATTCTAAAATTACGTTATCTAAGTATACTGAGTAGAACGGCAACACACTTCTAATTTGAAAATCGATTTGTCTGTCAAGCGGCTAAGACAACCTACGCAGGCGATGTTCCTTACAGTTGCTCATAAAACTAACCAAAAAGACAATTTTGA